CGAGGGATTTAACAGCCAGACAAAAATGTGTTTTGTTCAAATCAAAATAGTTTTTTTTTTTGTGCTGCATCCACCTAATTGAATACTCATGACTTACAACAAAACAATATGTGTTGTTCTTTAAATCTAGCCTGAATTTAGTTTCTTGTTCACAGAATGACCCCGACAGGCAGTTTCTTATTCAGGCCAGGCTTTCAGTTTCTTATTGACACTTTTTAAAGGGATTTGTGAAGTTTAAGAAGCTGGAAAAAGCCAAGTACAAACCAATTAACCACAAACTGAGTGAGGGATTTAATTGTATATTCATGAACGCTCATTCTTTCCTTTTCTGTACCCACTTATACCCTTTAGGTGAGAGGCAGTGGTACACCCTAAACAGGTCGCCTGTCCATCACAGGGCAACACCATATTCACTTATGCATTCGTTCCTAAGGGGAATTTTTACCATTCATTCAACCTGACGCATGTTTTTGGGATTTTGTGGTAGTGCCCAAAGAAAACCCACACAAGAACGGCAAGAACATGCAAATTCCTCCCAGGAAAGACACCGTTGAGCCTCGAACCTTCTAACTGAGAGGCCACAGTGCTATCCACTGCACTACCATGCCAGCTTTGGACAAAAAAAAAGAATCCATGACCGCTTTAAGATTAAGAGACTTACCTGTCTGCCCTTATGCCTTTATTCTGCTTGAAGCTAAATTTCAGGAGGAGATACTTTGCCTCATGACATGTGACTCAGGAGAGACATCACATCAGATTGAGGACAAGTATAAATTTATTTTTGAAAGAGGTGACTGGTCATAAATAAATACTAAACAGCAGCATGTAAAAAAATAAATACCAGTGCTCATTGTCCTATTACGACTGATCTATAAAACTCAGCAGACATGATGTGCATTTAACTGTGATCTGGGATGAAATCACCTTTATTGAGCAGTTGCTTATTTTGTGGGGTTTTTCTTCAAGTCTTTTCAAGCAGTTATAACAATCATGGCTTGATTCTGAAAAACGATTCCATCAACATGCACAATTGTGTGAATTGGGGATCGGAAAGAAAAGAAAACCAAAAAAGTTGTAAACAAAGAAACAGCTTCACCAAAGATTCATTGTTAATTCTTCTTCCTCACCACATTTGGTTAATTCACAGAAATAGTACGTTCCGATCCAAAGGTAGCACGCCGACTTGATTGTTGCTCTCTTGGCTCCCAGAAAGCAGTAGACAATTCCAAAGAACTGGAACAGAACAGAGATGCTCTTGTGTTTGCTAAACCAACCCTTGAGATCCCATGCAGGAATTGCTTGTCTCCATCCAGAGCCGTCAGCAGTCTGCAGTACAAAGTGCTCAAATCCTCTAGCATCTCTTCACTCAAATTCAACCCAAACTGAATGAGTAAACGCACCGAGGCACAGAAAATGAAACTCAGATTGCTCCACAAAGTGACGGACACACCAAATTCTTCCAATCGATGTCTTGGAGGCAGTGCTTGACTATCAGTTTCCTCATGCCGAGAATTTATTAGTAATTCAAAAAATAGTCCGATTGTAACCCACGATGGTTTTCAAAGGCAGAAGGAGCCATATTCCTTGGCTGGTGGATGACGGTGACCGGAACAGTGATAGTAAACACTGCAGCAGGTGCTAAACACAAGATTACGTGACGGACAGGCGTAGCTTGGCAGGAAATGAGTGAAACGAATGCATAAAAAATAGCCGTTTTGTTCAACCATCGAGCATTGAGTCAAGCACGGACGTGGAATTAAAACCAACGATACTTCTCAGTCCCGTCATTCTGTTTTGAACTCAGTCACCAGTTTAAATTCATATATTTATATCCATTTATATATATATTTATATATTTATGTATTTTTTTATACAGTTAAAAACACCATGGAGTTGACAAACTATTTGGTTTCTTTTTCTAAGTAGAAGTTTCTCCTTAAATAAATGCATATAAATAAATTATATCTCACACGTTCCAGGTTGTCAACTCTTCCTGCAGCGGGTCTTCAGTTCACTTGTAGCTTTCAGTGATATTCCAGTTTTGGCAGAGCTTCCCAAAGCCCCAAGACACATGGTACATTTGTGTTGAGCGCCGTCAGCAGTATCTCATTGGCCAGGTTTTGTAGCATCCTTGTTTGCGTCTCTTGGGCTCACTAACTGAGTCTCTGTGGGGCCAAAAGAGGCCACTCCCCCTTGTCCGCTCCCATTTGCTAAAAGGATGCACACGGTCTCTCTGGCCCTCTGAGGGACAGAGTTACAGAGGTCCTCCTGTTTCCTCTGGGCATGTGCCAGTACTCTGAGGTGTTCCTGAGCCTCGTTCAGAAGCGAGGCGATGTCCTCCTGTTGACCGGATGCCCGGGTTGACTGTTGATTGACAGGTGAAGTATTCGCTGTCCCCTCCAGAGAACCTGGATGACTGCTTCCATCAGTTGGGAGGGTTTGCATACAAGAGACCTCATCCTGATAGGAGTGGACAGAGGGGATGATTGGGATGGAGCAGGGTCGGTAGGGAGCTGGAGGACTTTGGCTGGGGCCATCTGACCTGAGGCTCCGAGTGCTCCTCGAGTCAGAATGGCTGCTCCAAGAGCTTAAAGATTGTGAGGTTTGCATATTGTAAAAGGTGTCCTGATGAAGGTTGTGACCTGGACCCGTGATGTTCCTGCAAAGACAGAACAAAGAAAGTTTTAAGGAAAGGACTGCGATGAAAGTTTCTTTGCATTCATTCGACAAAAGCCTCCTATCAGATGCAGGTGTGCAGGTTTGTCCCTTTTTCCTGCTGTTAAAACAAGTTCTGTTGCTATGGAAACATTCAAATAGTTTCCATTCCCAAGTTCCAGCGAAAGAGAAAGAAAACATTCCAAGCAGTCTCAAGTTTGGTCTTTCCTCTGGAGCATTCCTTACTTAACGTTTTTGCTCCAGTACCTCGCAAGAGGCTCCTAATGCAGCTTCAAAATTCAAACTGATCTTTGTTCAAACAGAGAATGAACCCACATTTATATGAGTTGTCTAAACCTCTATTTGTATATTTTCTATATTTCTCAACGACCATAGTCTTCTGATAAATAATTCTTAAAAAGCAACAAACACACATGTTGAGATCTAAATAAGTGTTTAGATCAATCGCTCAGTTTTGTGTTTTTGCCTGCAGCATCAGCAAACAAAATTACAAACACGACTAGATCCATCAAGTTTTCAAACATTTGTTTACTTGCTAATATCTAAAACTCTTTTGAAATCAAGTTTGTTCACTCTGAGAGTTTCTAAAACACCCCAAGGGAGTTCTTATAGACATTGAAGGCGAACTCTTATCTAATATCAAAACAACTGACTTTCACTAATTAATTCATGGTTTATATAGAAATGTCATGTACTAAATGATAATAGTGTGAACATTCCAAAATAAAGAATAAAGAGTGACTGCAGATGAAATGGTGCTACAGAATGTTCTCAGCATTGCTGAGGTTGATAAGGCACCGTTCATTTAAATTAGCGCATAAATTGATTAAAGATGTACAAATTAATTGCATGGTTGAAAACTAATCCCAAATAGTGTAATTCGGGTTCTCTGAAAAATGTAAATGAATGGAGGAAAACACAAAGAACTGATGATTAAAAGTTTGCTAGTTTGCTGCATTCTTCTAGTTTTCTCGGTTTTGGGTTTAACAGATAATACACCATGAATTGGTTTCAGATCAAAAGTAGACTGATAAAAGATGTGGTAAATAGACTGGTAGAATTGTTCCCGGTAGACATTACAATGACTGGTATATCGAGTTGTTATTTCCTAATGTGTGGTAGGGGATGTTTTCAGCCACTTTAGGGAGATTTCGGCCACAACTTATTCTGTTTTTAATTAAATTGAATAATTTTTGGTGACAAATTTTCTTTTACAACTTTTTTTAGGGAAATGGTGTGACTTTTTTACAAAAACTCAAATAGGCACTCTGGGCAAATTCACAATCCTGATCACATTTTTTCGCATTAATCTTTTCATCTACCTCTAGTTTTTTTTTTTTTTTATCTGGGATGTTTACAATGTAAATGCCAAAATCTTTCATGATGTCACAGTTTTATTTTTACTTTTTATCACGTCAAACATTAGTAACAACATTGCCATTATTGGATTTTTCGTTTTTGTGTGGCACCAAATTTTCTCGTTTTCTGCCTTATTTATTCGTTGTGCCCCATTGACTTACATAATAACAACCTTTTTTGATTGTAAAGCCATAACATGAAATAATCGTGCATTCTTTCCTTGATCACAATTTACAAGCATTAACCCTAGAGAGGCCACTCCCTGTGCAAAAAAAAAAAAAAAAAAAAACAATTTTTGATTGGTAAGATTTTGGCAATTAAAGGGTAAAAATGCAGGATTTTTTAAAATTGCAGTTTTGATTAGAACTGAGGTATAGGTAAAGAGATTTTTGAAAAAAAAAAATACAAATATTGTTTAATTTAGGGGCCATTAAAAGCCATGAACAACATGACATGGCAGTGGATTTGAATAAACCACAAGAATTAAAATGACTTGTTTACAAAACTGTCTAAATAATGCAGTAGTGTTAATTTTAATGTATGACACTCAGGAAACAGGACACATCAGAGAGAAACAAACTGAGCTAAGAAATAATACGTAAAGCATTAAATGTTAAAACGCAAAATGAATAATAAAGTAAGTGAAAAGTAAAGCAAATATGAAGAGCTCAGTCTAAGAAAAAGTAAAGACTGCAGTCTTTGGCAATCAGCAATGTTTTGCAATTAAGACGGATGGTCATGGTGTGAGTCAGACTTCAGCTGCAGCTGTTCCAGATGGATGAACAGATCCAGTTTGATTTGGGGACAGTACAGTAGCAAATGCAACTTTAAACATCACTTTAAATTAAAATCTCTGAGTCAAATTTTCAGGTTGTTTAAATTGGTCGAAATGTTATTTGCTGAAATCCAATTTCTTTAGCACTTGCTGAATTTAATGTATAGTCATTTTCCAGTTTAGAGCAGGAGCTTTCCTGGGGCACAGTTGGTAGAGCATTGTGCTAACAAAGCAAAGGTTGTGGTTTCAAATCTCAGGGAAGGCAGGAATTGACAAAAAATAAAAAAAATAAAAGTTACAATTCTTTCAAATGTAAGTCGCTTTGGATAAAAGCATCTGCTAAATCCGTAAATTCAGGTGTGAAAAAATGCTGTAAACGGTGAAATCGAAATAATATTTGTTTATTTTTTACAAAAATGTAATGCAAAAGAAAAGTGTAATTTAAATCAATATTTAGTGTTACTACGTTTTGCCTTTCTTAAAGGTACAGTGCATAGTCCGCTAGCTGCATTCCATCCACTTATTTTCATGCGCATTTTGTAATATTGCATAAAATAAACCCAGAAAGGAAATGATGAGATGTGCATACATTTTGAAAATGCACTTCAAGAAAAGATGTGGAGTAGGACAAAGTTTTTATTAGATCAAATAAAATGTGCATAAACTTTGATGGAAATGCATTTAATGAAGGATACCACACACGTTTCCATGTTTATCATGTATGTTAGGTTTTGGAGAAAGATGGTTTTCCAATGCTGGATCAGGTGTTTCTATTGACTACAATATATGCAGTGGTAAGACTACAATATATGCAGCCATTTATTTGTGCTCCTACTGTTAACAATGATCACAGCAATTAACAAAGATCAATCCTCCACTTCTACACTGCTCCCTGAAGCACAAACACGCAGTCTGTGAAATACATGTGTGAGAAAATGAGCAGCGGTTTGTGCACAGGCAAAAAAAAAATAAAAATCAATTAACGTCCGGTAAATTGCTGACCACGAATATTTTCAGGTTGTATGTTTGTTTTAACAATCTCTCTCAGTCAAGTGAGGAGTGGGGCATCAAAGGTAGCAAACAGACTGAAATTTAAAGTGACATTGTTCCTTATTTCGGGACCACAGTATAAGCAGCCATTTAATTGTGCTCCTACCGTTAACAATGATCACCTCAATTAGTAAAGGTCAGTTAATCAATTAATGTCCGGTAAATACAGCTGATCTTGGTATGTTTGCTGACCATGTTCATTTTTGTGTTGGTAATTGTGCTCCTACTGCTAACAATGATCACCGCAATTAATAAAGATCAATTATCCAGTTCTACACTCTTTGAAGCACATACATGCAGTCGGTGAATTAAAGGTTTGAGTGACGGAGTAGTGGTGTTGGTACACCTATTTTTATGCAGATCCGCTCCCTGCTATTTCATTAATTCATGTGTTACCACACCCCCTTTTACCTGCCTTTTTCAAAATTGAGTTGTGATACGATGTTAAAAAATTAATTCATAGCAATTTGTGAGGTCAAGTTTTCCTTTAACCGGAGAGCAACTTTTTACAAGTTGAGCGAATACTTTTTGCTAATTCACTGTACTTTGTTGGCTTAGTGCCTGAAATCACTTTATTCAGATGGACTTTAGCTGCTTTCCTGATTCAGAGTGTCTCCCTGTGGCACTCCTTCTTAAGATAATCTCATGACAATGCATGCCGAGGTCTTTTAAAAGGGATAAAAGCCCAATTTTCATTTAGGTAAACTAATCTCTCAATTTAGGTGCTGTCGGCATTGTTCCCCCGATTCATTATCTTTGAGAAATAATTCATAATCCCCGACAAAGAATGGCTTTTTCTCATGGCATCAATATTCAACTAAGCGCTGCTTTTCTGATAATGACCGAGTGAGAGTTAAGCCTCAATCAAGGGAAGGCAAATAGTCGTAATTCTATTTTAAATATAAACAGAAGATGCAAACAAATTATGGAGCGTTGAAGCCAACTGTGCTCCATCCTCGCCAAAGACTTAAGAATTGGAAACAGTTAAGGTCAGATGGATTTATTCAGAATTCGAGATATTTTCTTCTGATCACAGATCACGATTCAATTCCGTGTGATCATTTACTGTCAACCAATTACGGAGCTGGAAAACATTTGCTACTAATGGCAAGCCTTTCCAGAGGACAGCTTCTTCACCTTCACACTAAAGTCTTTAGGTTCTTCTGAAGAATTCTGTTGGTTGTTATTATTTCTTCTATTTTAATAACATATTTTTAAAAGCACTCTAGTGCATTCCAGAAATGTCAACAAGAGACAGAAAGAGGCAAGGGTCTTTCAGGAGCCAGAAGCTCAGAGAAACGTTTTCTGCAGAAACATTGATTACAAGCAAACAGATCCGCCTCCTCCTAAATAAAGTGTATGTCCATGAAATGGAACTGGATGACACTTCACGATGTTATCTTCACGTTCTGATGCTAAAATGTAAGCAATGAGTTTTCATGGTTTGGAGGTAACAGCTAAATTAAATAATACTGTCACTTTATTCTTGCCAAGTTCTGATTAATAACCACATTCCCCGCTGTGCTGCTGTTGTCATCGTGTATTGTCTGGCACTTGCATGAAATTAATAGAAAATGGTGAAAAGGGTGTCAATCTCCTTTAGAAAGCTTTACCGTTCAAAGTCTGGAGCTGTTTTGAGCCTTTTTTACCACTTTACAATTCACTGTAATAAAATATCCTTAAACCAGTTTAGTTTTTTTAGTGGCAATGCTTGATATTATTTCTTGTACAAACCCAGCTTCTTTTTATTTTACAAACATTTTTAAAATTATTCCACACACAATAATTCCACAACAAACCTGAAACTGTAAGAGTGGTACATTTTGTCATGTTTTACTGTGAAAATCTAAAGAGCGGAGAATGAACAGTTTTCTATGTTTTAGAACAAAAGTCCAAAGTGTTGACACAAAATGAAAAACTCTTAGATCCCTCAAAAAAGCAAAGACAAGGTCGAAATAATGTGAAATTATATATATATATATATATATATATATATATATATATATATATATATATATATATATACACACACACATACAAAAAAACAGGCAAACCTGTTCAAAAATCCAAACACTTTTTGTTCCATTGTGTCAGAACTTTGAAACACAAAAGCTCATATAACAGGTATTTTGCTTCCAAAGGTTACCCCTTCTTTTAACCACTAGATGGCAAAACTGAAAGACGATCACGCTCTAATTTGAAATAACTTGCTAAATATGTGTCAAAACTCTTTTAATGTTCGTTTAAAACAAAAAACTACGTAATTCAAAACAGCCGGCACATGCATTCAGGGACTGAGATTAGTAAGAAAACACTAATAAATAAATTTGATCATTTATAAAATCCACATAAAACACTGAAAAATAGCATTTATTGCTTGTCCTCGTCTCCGATGTTATACTTCATCATAAAATATAATGATTAGGATCTTTTAAAAATAACTTTCTCCTGCATTAATATGTAAATCCACATATAATATCGTAATTATTTACACAAATATCAATACTTTCTTAGATTTAAAAATAAAAAATGCATCAAGTCATGTCCCCAGCTTTGTACTCACTCCTGTTACCTTAACCCACCCACTCCTGAAAAACTGGGAACTATTACTGTTACTATTATTTTAATCCTATTATTTCAGAGATTTAGTGTAAAAATTCATATATTTGGTCAATGTTCCTGGTTCTAAAATCATGTGCAGCATGTGTCATTTAGCATTTATTTGCTAATTCTTTGCTAAAAACTCTCATAAAGAGTAAAAAAACTAATTTTTTTTTGAGTTAGTAACGAGAAAAAACAGCATCCATATTTTGATTATAAATCTAATGAAACAAATAAGTTACTTTAGATGGAGCAATGCCCCTTTAGAATACTTAAATGTTGAAATCTGTTCTGAAATCAAGTAAAACAATTCAATTTGAAAAGTTACAACAAGCAAACGTCACCCATTTGGTGGAATGGCTCAAGTGTTGTCTATACGCTTTCTACAGTATTCAGCTCGAGGGAATCCAGAGGACCCGAAGGGGTGATGACAGGCATCTTTTTGGCTAAACACATCACTTTAAGAAATCCTTGTTGTTGTACCCAGATAACAATAAGGACTTGGGGACGGAAGGAATAAAAAGGACAATTTTCTGCTGTCATATGCAAAAGACATCCTCTCTTTTTTTCTGTCACTCCTCTCGTGTCTCGCTCACACTTTCTCCTCTGTCCCATCTCCAGGCCTGTCTCCATGGTAACAGAGCTTTCTCTCCAGCAGAGGGATATTCTAATGCTGGGTGGAAGGCTGGAAATAGGTCATCACTGAGACCCTTCTGCAGATTTTAAGGAAAGGTGGAGTCATCCACACCACAAAGCTTTTCAAATAGGGAAAAAAAAACCACCATACAAGACCAGGCCAGGAGAGGGTACAGGATGACAACTGGCCCATTCCAGCTAACTCTTCCAACCAGACGAGCCATTCCATTGATATATCACTGGCTGTTTAATTGGCTATGACACTGTGGTTTTTATTAGCCATGCTGCTGCTGGAGAAGGCAGCACTCCCCCGTGTCCTCCTGTCTCCATGAGTCATGCGAGCATCCAAAGCTTCAATAATAGAGCTCAGACAATCCTGCATGTTGCTCCCCCAGTCAGCTCTGAGACAAAGCCATGCACTCAGCGCTAAAACCTTGGAGCTATTACAAAATGGATTTTATGGCTTGTGCGTAAAGCCATTAAAGATATGCCCTGGGATATGTATTTTACCGTTTAATAAACCACCTGAATTGCCAGTGATATACAACCTGCATTCAAGAGTGTTTTAGATGCATTCAAACTTCAACATGCATTTATAAACTATTTAATTGCCGTTAATGATGATGAGCTCTCTCAATCTGTTGTGGCATTCTGCTTAGGCACTCTGTTTGCAGCGTATGCATTGGACTCACTTTCCCACTGGACCACACCCCCTTCACTGAGGCGGGATGAAACAAGTGGTAAAATGTCTGTTAGACTCCCACGGCTTACTAGAACTATGGTTTTCCTGACACACACACACATATATACATATAGTGGCACCTCGAGATACGAATGCTTCGAGTTACGAAATGTTTGAGATACGAAAGGTCTCGCGGGAAATATCCTTAAGCAGACAAGGCCAAAACAATGTGAATTTTGAATAAAATAACAGCAAACTTCTCCTAAATCTTACACTCCAGTCATATTTTGTACTTT